GTCACACTGCAAAGGGTTGGGAAGTAAGCGAAAGGAGAGGAAGAAAAGACAACCAATGTAGAAAGCTTTTGCTAAGAGTCTGGCTGAGAAGAAGAAATATAAAATGACAGCATGAGGATATAGCAGGGTCTAATTGCAGTTTTTTAGGATGAAGGAGATGTGGACACATGTGAAAACAAAAGAGAAGGAACCCATAGATGGGGAGAGACTGCAGATTATAGAGGGTGACATGACTGAGGCAGAAGACAGGAATGAAGGGAATTGAGAGGAGTTGGCCACAGCAAGAAGGATCATCTCATGATCAGAAACCAGAGGAAAGAAGGAGAGCATGAAGGATGATAACAAAGGGTTCTAAGATGAAGAAAAGCAGGGAAGAGGGAGCTCACAGTGAATGGTTTCAATTTTCTCATTAAAGTAAGAGTGGAATTCAAGAGAACCAGGTCTGAATCTCAGCTCTGACACTTAATAGCTGTGTAACCTGGGGCTGACAAGTCACTTCACCCATCTAGGCCTCAGTTTGTTTATCTGTAAAATGAAAGTGCTGATGAGATGGGGTTCTAAAGTGCCTCTGAGCTTTAGATCCAATGATCCTATTAGCTTATTAAGTTATTAGACCTTTCTTTTTGTGTCTACACTTTTTAAAGAATACATGTAGGGGCTAGGTGTTCTCACCAAAGTGACTAGGAAGATATGAACATGACTTCAAATAGCTAAAATTGAAATATTCAGCTTACAATTTGGACATCAGCTTTTAATAAGGAACGAGACACCAATTACTTAAAATTTTAAATTCTATTACATAGAATTTCAAACAGAATTTGGTCATCAATGAAGTACTGATAATGAACCATTTAGGAATTTCTACCTAGAAAGACTGTAGCTATGACAAACACCCTTAAGGCAAATCCTTGGAACCAAAGCAGATACAAAATTTTTGTGGTAGTTAAGACCTTCATCAAAGAGAATACACTACCCATCTAATTGCATAATGTCCCACACTAGGCACTGTGTAAAGAAAACTTTACAGACCAAATCCCTACTTTCTAGGAGCTCTCCCTCTAAAACAGAGAAACTCTGTAAGACCAGGGTCTCCTCTCTGAAGAGGAACCAGGCATGGAGAATTATTCCAGGTGCTTTGCTATAATTCTGATGGCTGATTATCAGACTGAGTACCTATCGGTTGCACTCTTACCTGGAACCTGAATGGCCATTTGTCGTCTCAGGGCAGCGGCAGCAGCTGCTTGGGGGGCTGAGATGGTGACAGAGGGACTTGGTGCCCCATGTTTCACAGTTTTGGTAGCAAGCATCGTGCTGTCGGCCCCTTGTGGAACAATTTTGCTGGTAGATGTAGACACTGATTAAAAAAATTTAAATAATAATACAAGTGAAGACAGAAGAAAATCTAATAGCTAAAATGATAAATGTTCCCTTACAGGCCGCAGGAGTAAAGAATGAAGCACAAGAAATGTATATATTTCTAAGAACTTGTGTAGAAGAGTGTCCCTGAAGCACAGGTTGTAATTCTGACTGTGTATTTCCCATAAATTCCACTCAGCCCTTTAATGCTGCCCTCATTGGAAATGATGAAACTGAAGCTCAGAGTCATAAAATGGTCTACCCAGAGTTACACAACTAGTCAGTGGTAGAGCGAAGCTTTGTGCTTGCCTGTATCTTCCAACTCCTAGGCTCCCTTGATGCCACATTGTCTGTTTCTGCATTGCTCCAGTGTCAGCCTGCCCTAAGGACTTTAGTGTGCATGTCCTTTTTAACCCATAGGAGCTGATAAGGCCACTTCTATTAGAAGTCATCTGTAAGGATAATCCTAGCTGCAGCTGATAGTTTTGTTACAGAGGACAGAATAGTCCCTTTAGTGGGATAAAAATATAAAAATGAAAATACACACCTTGGCTTGCTCCCAAGAGAGCAAGTAGCCTGTCCATAGGCTACCAATGAGACAAGCTAAGACAGGAGAAGTGTATTCATGCACTGACATTTGCCTACTTTCTTTTCCTGAATATTGACTGTCCTGTTTACTTTGTGGGTTAAAAAGCCCTTAGGGTCAGCTGACACCAGAGGGTCAAGAAACAGGTAATGTAGCATCCCTGAAAGAGTAGCAGGTGCAAAGCTTCGCTCTGTCATTTACTGGTTGTATAACACTGGGCGATGGACTTTATGCCCCTGAGCTTCAGTGTCATCATATTTAAAATGGGGATAAATGCTTTACTTACCCCCCAGTGTTGTTGAAAGAGATCAAATATGCAATTGTACTTCATAAAAGGGGACACAAATGGAAGGTACTGGCATCATTAGTCTGAGGAGTTTGGGAACAGGAAATCAGCAGGGGTAGGCTATGACTAAAAAGCTTTCTGTATGATGACATGAACATACATCAAAGATTTAATAGGAGAAAAGTAAGTCTGATTATTGTTTACTTACTTAAACCTCCTACCAGACTAGGAGAAGAGATGAGTGGCTGATGAGTTTTTGTGAAAGGAGGAGCCTGAGGCAAGAGGGTGGGCTGGATAGAAGACGTGCGAACCACTGGGGCATGTCGAGGGCTTCGGATTATCACATCTTCATCTCTGTATAAAATCTGTCGCTCATCATTCTCTAGAGATTGGGAAATGGAAGACGTGGAGCTCACTTCATCCAAATCTTCATAATATCTCTGAGACAGGAAGGCCGATCGGGAGAGACTGGCTAAAAAAAGGCCAAGCAAGGGACAATTTTAGGTAATTAAAGCATTCCAAAAGGAATCTCCACTGATAAGAGTGAAAAATTTGATTCTGGAGTCAAAAGACTGGGGTTCAAAATTTGTTTCTCCTACTTACCATGTGTGACATTGGCTTTCTGAGCCTCACTTTCCCCATCTTAACAGCAGAGGGATTAGAATGAACTAGGGAATCCCTAGTCTCCTCTAGTCATACAGTATATGAACTATAATGTGTAAAACATTTCCATGACTATTTCAAGTGGTAGCAGCTGCCATTGTCATTTGTAAAATTAAGCCAATTTTAGGTCTTTGCTCAGACACTGCTATGAAAGTCCCCCGCGGTGGGGGGAGAAGTGTGTTCTGACTGTCAAAGTCAGAGGAGAAAGTGAGAGACAGAGTGAATGTTGATCTAACACCCTGCAAACAAGGGGCTTCAGAGGAAAATTTTCACAGGTAGAGTAGTAATAAGCCAGAAAAGAGACAGATCAGTTTCCCTGGTATGTGGAGAATCTCAGAGAGGATGTTTCTGTAAGTTGGCAATGCTGCTTCTTAAGAACAGCACCACAAAGAGGTGGGCATCAGTGTCCTGAGCCCTGACTGTCTTAAACAGTTATAGATAAACTGGACTCATACAAAAAACGGATCTGTGGAAATGGAACCTCTGAATCAGAGAAATGAATGAAAATCACCAGCCTCAAGCTCTTGCCCTCCCTGAAGGTGCTCCCTAACCCTGCCAATCTGCAAAGTGGATACCAAACAACCTGGCCCTCTCAGAAGACACATCACTTGAATAATGACGTTCAAACCCAGCAAGTGACACCTAGTAGAGCTACATAGAAGCTGAAAGGGAAAGAGGTTAACTACAGACTTCTTTCATACATTTAATATTTACTCATGAGCTTTTGCCTTACAGAAACACCACTCTGCAGCACCTCGTTTGTCCAGCACCACAGCTAAGCACTAGGCTGAAAGGAGAGGGTGCGAATGCTCACAGAGATCAAGAGAAGTAGCAGACTCTCGCTGGAGACTTGTTACCTGAGTGAGAGAGGCTCAGCAAAGGACCTAGGCCACAATGCTTCCAGCCAACATTCCTAAAGCCGAGGAACGTGGTAGTAACACTAGATAATAACCTTAAACCATGATGTTCCACAAGTCTCACCAAGACTGCTTGTCCAGAATGACAGAGGTCTATTCCTCAACTGGTCTCCTCCCCTTTTGAAGTTATTCGTCCAACACTGGCAGAAGACAGGGACATTCCAAGAGGCAGCAGCACCTGCTTCTCAAAGGAGGGTGTCTGGACCTGCTGCAGAAGCAATGGCAACTGCTTCATGGAGACTACGGACATGCTCCCCTTTGCTGCCAAGGCCGCAGCCAGCTCTCTGACACTTGGGTAGACAAAAGTCTACCCAATGACTACCTACCCAAGTTCATCTGCTACGAAACATATAAAAGGGTTTAGTATCATATTATGATAACTGGGAACCAAGTCAACCAAGAAAACGGACTTTTCTCAGACTCCACCTCACTTTTGCAGGGCAGCTTCGTTCACACCCTGAAGCTGAATCTGACTTTGGATAAAGTTCTTTCTTGAGACAACGAAGAAGACATACTTCACTCAGTACAGAATCGCAGAATGAGTAAAAATCCACAAAGTTGCAATATATTTGATTATAAATTCCATGGGCAAGATATCTTTAAGGACACGTCACGTATGTTTCTTTGTACAACATACCTAGTACATTCAGCTTCCAACAGCTACTAGATGTGTGACTTTGGACAAATCAGCTGAACCTCCCTGAGCTTTGGCTGCCTCACCAGTGAAATGAAGGGGTTGGGCCGGATGGTCTCTGAGGTCCCTTTTGGCCCTAGACCTCTGATCATGGAAACAGTCCCTAATGAAAGACTTCTTAAATAAAAAACTGAATGATACTCAGATAAATCCCTAATCTTATCTTACAGGTCCTCTCTCCAAAGCTTCGGCTCACAACTCATCCCGTGTGTCTCTTGTCCACATCCTAGGATCACCAATCTAGAGACTACTGCACAGTAGAGGCCATTCATTCCAACCCTCTCACTTTATAGATGAGTAAACTCAGACTGAGGCAGCTTAAGTGACTTGTCCATGGTCACAGAGACAGTAAGCACTGAAAACAGGATCTGAACTCAGGTCCTCTGGTTCCAGAGCCAGGCACTTTTTCATCTCAGTACTTGGGGTCTACTCAATATGTTGGAGACTTTTGGCTATATTTCTTAAGATTGTGTCAATTACAAGGGAACATGGAAATCGTCTACGAGGTATCCCTTACTCTCATTACATGAACGATCCATCTCCTTTTCTGATCAGAAATCTCTCAGATATCAATTCTTTCTATCATGCTTCTCCTGTGTAATAACAAGCTGTAGCCTATTCATGTCCAACATGAGCCCATCCATTTCTTTTAGTAACCCACTACTTTAATTTTTCATAAACTGAGGTATCCTATGGTTCAGAGGCTTGAAGTATCACAGTAATAATACTGGTACTAAACTGGTTTTTGTTTCAGAGAGAAGTTTGGAATCATAAAAACTATTACATAATTTCCCAAAGGCCTAGTCCTCTCTTCTCCTTCTGTTCAATTCTGGAACCAGTTCACTGTATATCCACAATGCCTGCTTAAGAGGTATGTACTGATGGACCAGGCTATAATATATGATTGTATGAAGCTACATATTATAGTTTGGAAAATAGACATCCTTCATCCAGTTAATTTCCTGTGTGGATAATTAGGCTGAGCTCATTTGAGTAAGTATGGCTCTCAACAGACTGTGAGAAAGGTAAATTTTTTTTCTTACTTTGTTTATATCCCCAGCATTTAGAACAGTGCCCGACAGGTGCTTAAATAAATACTTGCTGACTTTCACTCATTTTGGAGGTTCTGCAGTGTTCTAGGATTTAATGCCATTAACACACTTTCTTCCCAAACAGGAATATCTGGAAGTGCTCACCATCTATGGGGAATACCTCTCAATTTGTACTCTGACCCAGACAGTCTCCATGACAGTGGCAGACTACTTCAGCAAGTATACTTCCATTTAATTTTTTTTATATTAAGAAGGTTAAATAATCTATTGTTTCACTTTTAAAGGAATCTTGTATGATTTTGATAGACACATGGGAGGTGCCTCCATTATTAGACTGTGAGTTAAATGAGAGCAGGGACTGTCTTTTGCCCCTTTTGTATCCAGGTACAGTGCCTGGTACATGGTTGGTGCTTAATGTTTATTGAATGATTGAGGAGTACAGCCTTTAGGGTAGAATTTTGCTCTATTAAATAAAATTATTTTTTATAGTCAACAAACATTAAATACAATGGAGTCTCGTATTCTCTCTCCCTTTCAGTCAACTGTATAACAGTAAGGCTGCAGTCTTCCATAGGATATGTTTTGTCAAAGTCTGCCTGTTCCTTTCCACACCTCCATCAAGGATGTAGCCAACAGTTGTGTTGATTATTCCTATAAAGATTTTGTAGAGATGGGAAAGCAGGAAAATAGGTTGGTAGTTACTGTTATTTCCTCAAGTGACTTTTTTCCAGTAATAAGTTCTATGTTTTTTTCCAAGTACTTAATATCTTCTTCTCTTTAACATATCTTGGGAACTGATCCCTCAACACCAGCAAAATTAGTTGCCTCGAGCACAAACCTCCTCTCTGTATATTTGGTCTAGTCTAGCTGCTTTCCCCATGTTTTCCTTTACACCAGTTCTACTTCCTTATGTAGCACGATGAGGAGTTGTGACATTTGAGTCAAAAAGTGGTAGTTTCACTGTCAACGATGTAGAAAAGAGTTTAATGTTATTATCAAAGATCTTTTCCACTTTTTAACCTTTTCTGTTATTGTCTTTATCATTTCAGCACTAAAGGTTCTCAGGTTGATTTGAATTAATTGCATTAAACTTTCTATAAACTTCTGTTTTCTTGTACTTTCTTGCTGTTTTATTAGAGTTATACTGTTTATTACCTTCTATCCATCTCCTCCATGATAATTTGCAACAGAATTTATATGCCAAACTGGTGTTATTATTCACTGCTATATCTCCATTTGGGTAAGGAGATCAAGTGTTTGCTGACTAAGGCAGTTTCTAAGTTCTTTAGGTCTCCCTCTTATGGAGGCTAATTTTTCCATGGCTGGTTTCCACAGGAATTGGTGACAGTCGATCTATGTTGATATAGATATCTTTTATCCACTTTTCCATGTCAGTAGAATGTTTAAATAGGTTAGGTTAGAGTTGCTTCAATTGCAGGTCACTCTTTGTCACATTTTACTCTTTCTTCTATTTTGGTATTAATTCTGATCTTTCCTTTAGCATGTCACTGATTGATTTCAAAATCATTTCCACACTGATAACCAGCTATTTCCCATTTGTCAGAATGTAGTCTATTTCATTTTTGGAAAGGTTATTCGGTGCTTGACATGTCCAACACCTCCTGACTCTTCCTGAAAGACTATATAAGTTCTAGATAAGAGAAGACTAGTCCATAAGTCTTTGACCTCTCATATTTTACTCCTGAATCATATTTTGTAACATATTTTTTAAACTCTTTTTCTTTGTTCACCTTTGCAAGGAAGTCAGAGAGTATTAAACTCTATTGATTTAATGTAGAATGTTTTGTCCATCTCCTCATTCTTTACAAATGATGCTTATGCATAGGCTCCAGTTGTCCTTAAAGTGGCCTTTTTTGCAATGCTTATCTTGAGTACTGCAATCTGAAATAACCAAATGTCCCATGAAATATTTCATGTTATCTGTGGGTGCACAATAAAACCAACTCTACCAACTCTTTCATTTGTCATTTGTCCCTCAGAGATGAACCTGTGAACCATCCTTCCTTTTAGTTGTGATTTCCTTTTATCTTCTAGTTTCATTATGTGGAGAATGTCAAGATTGACAGGATTCAATTCATTTAGTTTCAATTCAATTCAATCCACTCAGTCCTTGAATAAGGATCCAGTACCATTTAGAATACCAACAGCTAAGATCATGTTTATAGACAGTCTAAAGTAGAGATTCTGAATTTGTGATCTATGAAGTCATTTTTTAAAAAAGATTTTAATAACTACATTTCAATATAATTAGTTTCCTTTGTAATCTTATATATTTTATGCGTTTAAAAACATTATTTGGAGAAGGGGTCAGTCCATAGGTGTCACCAGACTACCAAAGAGATCCATTATACACAAAAGATGAAGAGCACTTGATTTTAAGTATTTGATTCTTAGCACCCCCTGCTGTCTTTTTTAACACTGCCATACTGCTACAAAAATGGAAGAGGACTGCATGACTGAAAGCTAGTTTATACTTTTCTTTCCATCACAGGTTGCCATTACAATAGAATTTGTAGCCATGTGGCCCAGACTACTGGTGATGGGCATCTATCTCCTTACTTAGCTAGGCTCCTACTTACACAAGGAAAACAGTATGCTGCTAGGGCAGTACTAAATGCCAGTTCTTACTAAAACTATAAATGGACATTTGACACTTACATGATAATTCAAATAACTATGCTCCATGATTTCAAAAAACAAGGAAGGAAATCTCAAGGCATACTAACTTTTTATGGATAATAATTACATGGTTATTGAGCTGGATTACTACTGGAAAAAAAAATTAACCCAGTACAGTAAAATCAAATTTAGAAAATCAAGACTAACTTCTCTTTAGTTTTCTTCAATTACTGAATAACACTTGGAAGTATAAACAAGAGTTCTGACTAGAAATAAGACTGTCAAAGAAAAATGTAGATTTTCATTTTAGATCTGGAATGAAGTTGTACATGTACATAGAAATCAAAGTGGAAATGTTAAATTATCCAGATAATTCAAAGGTAAGAAGAGTTTTTATTCAATTGTCTGCATTTTTTAGGTAAATATTTCTTCAGACTGAATTCTCAGTGGCTATCATTCAGCATACATAAACTCTGTTCCTTACTTTGTCTCAAATCCAGATAGACAAGTAAATTCTGTGCTGTACACCCATTCCCTCCCCCAACAGATTCTCGACACAAACATTTTCTTTCTAGCCAAAACATTCTTCCCATTCCCTACATAGAGAAATTCAAAGGACATTCATTAAGGTCTATGTTTAAGGTCTTACTCTAAATCTATGCTACTTTACAGCTCTGTTTTTCAGATTTATACAAAGTTTTGTCTACCTGGTGCAGTGGATCTTATTGGTGGAGTCTTCCTTTTGGCCAAAAAATTCCTCAGCTGTGCCTGTTTCACAGGGGACAGTTTAGCTGCAAGAAATCATATGAACCTATAAATGCTCAAGAGTCAGTTCAAAAATATATGCAAAACAAAATAGAATTAGAAGAAAAAGTCAAAAGAGGAATTATCTCACCTGGTATTTTGGGTAGTGGCTTGGTGTGAGATTCAATGGTGGTTTTCATTAAAGCACTGCGCAGGCTTTCAAGGTCACTGTCAAAGCTGGAAAAAAAGGGAGATGACCATACAGAATTATACTATGCACTGAGAAGCCAAGTCAGCTTAAAGTAGGCACCTATTATGTGCCAGACACTGGGGATATAAAGATAAAAACAGTTATCTTCTCTCAAAGAATTTATGTAGAGGTGGGTGCAGGGGTTACAACATGTACAAAGAAAAGTAAACCCAAGATTCATACAAAATATCAAGTAATTGGGTTGGAGGGGAAAAGACTAACTATTAGGAGAATCAAGAAAGGCCTCACGTAGGAGGTGGCACTTGAATTAAATTTTGAAAAGATCTAGGGGTACCAAGAAGTGGAGGTGAGGAGCAAGAATGTTCTAGGCTCAGGAGACAGACTTTTCAAAGGCAGAGGGGAGATACAATGTGTATGGAAAGCAAAAGGTCAAATGGCCTAGAACTCAAAGCACATGAGGGAGAGTAAGGACTGATCACCTAGAGAGAGGCTGCAGCCTGAAAGTGAAAGACTTTAAGTGCCAAATAAATGGGTTTAAATTTTATCTTAGAGGTAATAGAGAGCCACTAAACCTTCTTGATCCAAGGAGTATATTTTCCCATTAAGAAACTGAATGTGATATAAAGGGGACCCAAAGTGTAGAATTATCACAGGCCACTGGCCCAACCACCTGCAACAGTGAAGCTAGAGAGAGGTGCAGCAGCAGAAGTACCACAAGCTCTCCGTCTTCCACACTCAGCTTCTCTAAATAGATCTAGAAAACACACCAGACCTAAGAGTGATAAGAAAATTCAAGAAAAAAAAATCTTTTTTTTCCCAATCCAGATAGTCAAAGGGAGACAGAGAGGTCTGTGCAGAACAGGGATGTGGGGTCTGGGCTAGCAGCATGCTACGAAGCATTCTAGCTCAGGAAGAGGCTATGCAATAGGGCAGAAGGAGGTCCTAGATTCAGCAGAGAGAACCCTAACCTTGTGTAGGGTACAGAACAGGGGCCAGCTGGAAGCTCTCACTCACTACCCACTTCTGGGTCATATATCAAGGATGGACTAAGAAAACTTGCACCTAGGGATGGCATTGCAGGTTGAGAGGCAGTCATTGGCCTATGCTACATAAAGAGCAAGAAGTAAATTTAGAAGCAAGCAGTAGCTGTGTGGTTCTGACCCCAAGACGCGTCTTTTTGCAGTGGTGAAGAATTGGAAATTGAGGGAGTGCCTATCAATTAAGGATTAGCTAAATAAGTCATGATATATAAATGTGGTCATTTCAGAGAAACCTTGGAAGATTAGTATAGACTAATGCAAAGTAAAATGAGCAGAAGCAGAACAATTTATACAATGACAACAATACTGTAAAAACAAATAACTTTTGAAAAACTTCAGAACTCTGATCAACATAATGATCAACCACGATCCCAAAGGATTCATAATGAAACTTACCATTGACATCTTGATAAGAGGTAAGATAAGGATTCAGAGCACAGAATGAAACGTTTTTTTGTTAATGAAGGAATGTAACAATGATGTATGTGTATGGGGTAGGGATGGGTTCAAGGACCCCCAGGAATCCACATTCATATGAAATCATACAAATAAACAAAAATATTATTTGCCATATACAAATATCATTATTTCCTAAGTGTATAATAGATGGGACAAGGTGGTACAGTGGATAGAACACTGGATCTAGAATCAGGAAGACTTGAATTCAAATCTAGCATCAGACACTTATTAACTGTGTGACCCTAAGCAAGTCACTTAATCTCTATTTGTCTCAATTTCCTCATCTGTAAAATGGGGATAATAACAGCACCTACCTTTCAAGGTTGTTGTGCAAATCAAATGAGATAATAATTGTAAAGCACTTAGCATAGTATCTGGCACATAAAAAGCGCTATATAAATGTTAGTTATTATTAATGTTAGCTATTAGACACTGTTATGATAAAATACAAATCAATTTAAAAGTATTACTGAATTCACAGTGGCTTTTTGTAATCACCTAATTTCATAATCAATAGATACTAATATTATGACTACTATCAAGTAGGATGGAGAAGGTGATCCACAAAATTTTTTTTAATTTAAAAGAAAACTCACTGGGAAAGTTTCAAAACTACTACTCTGAGTTAAGAATGGTATACTGAATGAATGAAAATAAATTATTATAACAAATTCATCTATCAGATAAAAAACCTCCACTAAATTCTTTAAATCTGGTTCAAATAAAGAATCAAAAGGTGCTATTTGAAAGGGTTCACATGGTGTTTCTATAAAGTAAGGGATCAACCCATTCCATAATTGTGTTTATTTAAATTGCAGATTATAGAACAAATAAATGCCATACAGAACATGTAGGCTGAAGCCTTTGATAAAATAGCTACTGAGGAATACCCTAAAATACCCTTTTCCTGTTGGCTATCTGTCTCATATACTCCTTCAGTACACAATTCTGGAAAGAACAACCCCAAAGACCCATTCCACTCCGTGCCGTGTTTACCCACGTACCTCTGAGTGCTGCTCTGAGAAGGGCTCTCATTGGGTATGCTCCACTGAGAGGTTTGGTTATAAAGTCGGAGCTGCTGTAAACTGTTCACCAGGTGATTCAACCTCTTCCTCTGCTGGTTGATTATTTCCCGGTTGTTGGCAAGAGTGTTAAATAGTGTCTCTCGCTCTGGAACAAGCAAGCGCCTGTTGACAGTCATAAGAAACCTTTAAAATTTTAGGAATGACTGGATTACTCTATGATAACCATATACCAAATGATTTCATGCTGCACTGTATCTACTTTCTCTCCCACTCCTCCCAACTGCTCCCTGCTCCCCCAAATCAATAATCCTCCAATAGACTAGAGTTTGCTAAGTGTCTCCTTAGATAATGGTGGGTCAGTTACTACTTCCCAGTTGAGTATTTCAGTGGGGCACTTTAAGGTCAAGGAAACATTTGGAGAAGGGATTAACAGAAGCACCATCTAGAATACCTGAAACATGTAATAGAGGAGAGAGAGGGGGCCATCACTAATGGGAATAAAGAGTAGTTTGTTATCCTATCAACACTCACTTTTGCTTCTTCTTCTCTTCCAGATATCTGTCCCACTCCAGGTCTAGAACATCATTCACATCTTGGACAGCAAACTTAACATACTGATGAAGACGCCGAATTTCCTACCAAGAAAAAAATTCTTAAAACAAAGCCAAATGATTCATTTTTCAGCTTGAGTAACAACTCAAATTAAAAGCAATTTTAAAGAGGAAGGCTAAAATACCTATAATATTTTCAAAAGACAGGAGCCTGAATGTGTTGTACAGAGAAAGATCCAGAATCTCAAGAGATCTCAGAAGGTCTCTAATACAACCCATATTTGAACAAAAATCTTTTCAGTAACCTCCTAACAAGTGGCCATCTAGCCTTCATTTGAAAACCTCAGAGTACCTACTTCCTCCTGAGTAAGCCCATTCCACTTGTGAATAGTTATTATTGAAAAGTTTTCTCTCACACTGAACTAAAATCTCCCTTTTGGCAACTTCTACCCATTGCCTCTATTTCTGCCCTCTGAGATCAAGCTGAGCAAGTCTAATCATGTGGAAAGAAAAATATACAATTGGTCTTCATTTCGATCTAATTTAAAAATATTAAGCATCCATGCAAGGCACTATGCTGATACTAAAGATTCAAATACAAAAACAAAAACAAAAGTTCTGCCCCACCCCCAAAGAGCTTACATTCTACTGGAGGGATACACAACGTTCACAGACAAATACAAAAAAACATAGAGGCAAAAAGTGTAGGGGATCCTTTATCAGAGTTGACTATTCAGACAAAACCTTATAACTAATACGAAAATTAACTCTAGGGAAACATTTCATTTGACATTTGGGAATGGGATGGTATAAAAGGAAAGGAAGTAAAATGGATTTCTATCCCTGTACATCTGAGGAGAGACTCATGGCACTGGAAAGGAACTTAACTGGTAAGGGCCTTGAAAACATCCCTTTGAGCCTTGCTCAAAGAATCTCAGTAAAGGGGACCTACACTGTCTGGAGGGGGCCCACAGCATCAAATCTAAACCTACTTTTCTGCTCAATGCTCCTAGTTCTGACCACAGAGAACAAGAAGAATGAGTCTGATCTCTCATCCACATGACAATCCTTTTCTTTTTTTTAAATTAATTTATTTTTAGTTTTCAACATTCACTTTCACAAGATTTTGAGTTCCACATTTTCTCCCCATCTCATCCCTCCCCCCACCCCAAGATGGCATGCATTCTGAATACCCCTTCCCCTAATCTGCCCTCCTTTCTATCTCTCCCCCCCATCCCCTTCAATTTTCCTGTAGGGCAGGATAGATTTCTGTACCCCATTTCCTGTATTTCTTATTTTCCAGTTGCATGTGAAAACAATTTTTTTTTAAACTTTTGTTTTTAAAACTTTGGGTTCCAAATTTTCTCCCTTCCTCCCTCCCCACCCACCCTCATTGAGAAGGCAAGCAACTCAATACAGGTGCAAAACACTTCCACAGTAGTGAAGTTGTGAAAAACTAAGTATATTTCCCTTCATCCAATCCCACCACCCATTTATTCTATTCTCTCTTTTGATGCTGTTCCTCCTTAGAAGTGTTTACTTCTGATTATCCCCTCCCCCAATCTGCCCTCCCCTCTATCATCCGCCTGCTCTCTTGTCCCCTTCTCCCCCATTTTCCTATGGGGTAAGACATATTTCCATACCCAATTGAGTGTGTATGTTATTCCCTCCTTAAGGCAAATCCGATGAGAATAAGATTCACTCATTCCCTCTCACCTTCCCCTGTTTCCCCTCCACTGTAAAAGCCTTTTCTTGTCTTGTTTTATGTGAGATAATTTGCCCCATTCTACCTCTCCTTTTCCCAGTATAATTCTCTCTCACCCCTTAATTTTATTCTCCAGATATCATCCATTCATCTTCAACTCCCCCTGTGCCCTCTATCTATCAATCTATCTATCTATCTATCTATCTATCTATATATATACACATATAATTTTTTCCCTCCAACTACGCTAATACTGACAGTATTATGGAAACACAATCAGGATAACACAAGATTTAGCAACTTCTTCATTAAGAGACCGGAGGGCTTGGAACAGAATATTCTGTAGGGCAAAGGAGATAGGATTACAACCAAGAATCACCTACCCAGTAAAACTGAGTATAATCCTACAGGGGAAAAAATGAACATTCAGTGAAATAGAGGACTTTCAAGCATTCTTGATGAAAAGATCACAGCTAAATAGAAAATCTGACTTTCAGATACAAGACTCAAGTGAAACATGAAGAGGTAAATAGGGAAGAGAATCGTAAGAGACTTATTAAGTTTGAACTGTTTACATTCTGCATGGAAAGACAATTCTTTTCTTTTTAACACCCTTGGGAACTCTGTCATGACTTGAGAGTTCTGTTTCTTTAAAGAAAGCTAAGGTTTAAACCTTCATATTGAAAATACTGAGTTATAGACATTCAGTGACCTAATATAATTAGCTACTAAACTGAAAATTCTTTGAGGGCAGGGACACTGTGTTCTTTCTCTCTGTTGTAAACATCCATGAATTTTGCAGAGTTAGTGCTTAATAAATATTTGATGAATGAATAAGAAGGTTATACTACAGTCTAAACAAAGTCCTATATTTAAATTTCTTCTAACTTGGAACAGAAATATGCAGATATAAATATTTAGAAGCAAGAGGAAATAACACCAAAAGGGAGCAATTAGAAGAAGGTTAATGAGCATGGAGCTGATGATATGACAGGTTTCAAGAATAAAATGACCCAAAAGACAAGAAGAATGAAAAGCAGAAGGGAAGTATGTATTAAAGAGCTATTCCACCTAGGACTGGCCATATGGAATAAATAAGGGGATACGATTTAAGAGGTGACAGGAAGACCTCTTGTCAAAAACACTCACAGATGGTCTTCTGGCCCAAATGCCTGGCTGAAGGAAGGCTGGCTGCCCAGTTCTCCCTTACCTACTACAGGAAAACCTTAAAAGTCACGTTTAGAGGGGCAGGAGGACCTGAGTTCAAATTTGGCCTAAGACCAAACCTTTGACACTTATGAGCTGTGTGACCCTGGGCAAGTCACTTAACCCCAATTGCCTAAAAATTAAAAAAAAAAAGTCACGTTAGACCAAATGAGCAAGAAATCTAATAAGAAATGACAGTGAGTGATTTCTTCTACCCCAGAACTGTACCAAACAACAATGATGACAACAGCAACAACAACACATGGCCAGCAGCCTACGGGAAATAGGTAAGAGGGCTAGGCCAGCACGGACAAACAAGCCCACAGCCTCCCATGGCATCAGAGAGATGTGTAACCTGGAGGGCACTGTATTGGACGCAGCAAGAGTAGAAGACTCCAAAAGAAAGCCCCAGGTAGTGGTAAACCCACAGCAGGGCATTTGGGTAGCAGCAACAACCAATGTGGCGATGGCACAGAGCAGAGCAGTACATAGACTAGGACATCTGGGACTCAACACTCTGAATGACAGGCCATAGAGGAACCAGAAGATTTAGCATTCTGAACCTCAAAGATCAGGTTGGGGGAGCCCCCTAACCCCAAGAAGAGAAAGTCAGTATAGGAACCCAGTGGACCCTGGGTAAGACAAATCAGAGCCAATCACTCTACGAAAAACTGAGCCTGGCTCTAGCACAAAGCCCCAAATCATGAAAAAAGCTGAACAGATAAGCAAATCAAACACTAACTCTTTAAAAAAAATATAGTGGATCTAGTGATGCTCAAAGAGCTAGCATTAAAAGGAGAGAATGACTCTGTAACAACTACAAAGACTCAAAGGAGGAAAAAATGGATTTTCCACAAAGACTACATAAATACTTAGAAGAAATGAAGCAAAAGATAAAAAATGAAACAAAAACTGGAAGAAAGAAGTAGAAAGTGAATAAAATGGCTTAGGAAATGGTAAACTCTACTCAAGAAATGGACTCCTTGAAAATTAGAATAAACTAAATAGAAATCAATGACTTTGAGTGAGAAAGAAATATTAAAACAAAATCAAAAGACCAAAAAAAAATTTAATGTAAGAGTTGATATTAAAACTAGTTAGTCTAGAAAACAGGTTGAAGGTGGATAATTTAAGAATCACTGAATTCCCTGAAAATCATCTTTTTTAAAAAAAAATCCTAGATACTATATGTGAAGAAATCATATGTGAAAACTAATCTATTAGAAGCAGAGGGCAAAGTGAAGACAGAAAAATCCAGCAATCAGTTCCTCAATAAACCCCCCCAAAAGCAAAAGTCCTATGAATGTAGAACCAAAATCTAGAATTCTCACACGAAAGAAGATATTCTGCAAGGATAAAGAAAAAAGCAGTTCATGTACCAAAGAGCCAGAGTCAGGCTCACACAAGACTTAGTAGTTTCTACTATAAGCAAGAGGGATCTTAGAATACAATATTCCAAAAATAAAAGATACAGGCTTACAACCAAGAATTACTTACCCTACAAAGTTGAGGGGGAAAAAAAGACCTTTAAAGGTATAAAGGACAACCTTCAAGGATTTCTGTTGTAAAGGCCAAACACAAGAGGCAAGAGAAATCTAGAAAGGTAAATTTCTTTGGGCAACTGAAAGGGTTTATATGATGATGTAGTACTAACATTCTAATAGGAGGAAAAAAAAAAGGGTCCTTTTAGAACCTTCAAAGGGTATTGAGGAAGTTTAAGAAAAACAGGCCCTGGGGAGGACTAATTCCATTTTAAGTATTTTAAGTGACAAAAGAGAATATAAGGAGTACATAGGACAGAAAAGAGGAAAAGAAAGTGGAACCTGCTATTTCTCATAACTGGGGTAGGTGAGAAGAACAGTACAGGGTAAGAGTACAGGTGAGTAGGCATCAGATGAACCTCACTCTTATCTGAACCAAACAACAGTGGGTTGAACACACACATACACAAACAAAATTTCAGTGTAGAAATACATCAAATTCAACATGGAAAAAAACATGGATAGAAAGGGGTTAAGATTAAGAAGGATAATACTGGGGGAGGGAATAGCTGTAAGCAAAACAAATATTCTGATCTGAAGGGAGGAATAAAATATTTTTAAAAAACCCTACAATCTTAAGGAGTTGCTTTAAATTGCCTTCAACACAACTGGGGAATGGTTTAATAAATAAT